ACGAATGGCTGAACCACTTTTCAATTCCTCTTTCACTTGTTAGTCCTTTCAGATATGTCTCAAAGTTACCTTACATTCTGCCTTGAAAACCATATATCTGGGCCAAAAGGGATGATTACAGCAGTGCCACAAACAGTATTTTTTAATCGAAGAGACAACTATGTTTAAGTAACTAAATCTTGTAAATATTCCTTATTGCTTCTGTGAAATTATATGTCAAATATAGCAATGTATACATATCAACATTAATTATTCCTAGCATATGGAAGGTATCAAGTAAAATATTAAAGATATTTTTCTTTCTATATAAATATGAAAAAAGATTAAAATAATAACATCCTTATGATATAACTACCATAAAAAGCAAATTTAATTTGGAATTTTTTAAAGTTTCTTAATATAGAGGTTTTATTTTATGTATATATTTTAAATTTGTTCTAATTAGTTATATATGACAATAGAATGCATTTTGACACATCATACATAAATGGAGTACAACTTCTCACTCTTCTAGTTGAACACAATGTWGAATCACACCAGTCTTGTAATCATATATGCATATAGGGTAATAATGTCCAATTCATTCTGTTATCCTTCCTACCTCCATATCCCCTCCCCTCCCTTCATTCTCTTCTGTCTGGCCTAAAGTAAATCTATTCTTCCCTAGTGCCCACCCTCTTATAGTGAATTAGCATCCGCATATCAGAGAAAAGATTTACTTAACATGACTTGTTTTTCTTAGCATGATATTCTTCAGCTGCATCCATTTACCTGAAAATGCCATGATTTCACTCTTTTTTAAGGCTGAGTAATATTCCACTGTGTATATATACCACATTTTCTTTATTTATTCATCTGTTGAAGGGCATCTAGGTTGATTCCATAGTTTGGCTATTGTTAAATGAGCTGCAATTAACATCGATGTGGCTGTGTCACTGTATGCTGATTTTAAGTCCTTTGGGTATAAACCAAGGAGTGGGATAGCTGGGTCAAATGGTGGTTCCATTTCAAGTTTTCTGAGGAATTTCCATACTGCTTTCCACAACGGTTGCAACAATTTGCATTCTTACCTGCAATATATGAGTGTCCCCCACATCCTTGCCAACCTTTATTATTGTTTGTATTTTTGATAATTGCCATTCTGACTGGATAAAATCTTGGAGTAGTTTTGATTTGCATTTCTCTAATTGCTAGAGATGTTGAACATTTTTTCATCTATTTATTGATCAACTGAATGTTTTCTTCAGTGAAATGTCTGTTCATTTTCTTAGCCCATTTATTGAWTATTTTCTTGGTGTTAAGTTTTTTGAGTTCTTTATATATCCTAGAGATTAATGCTTTATCAGAGGTGCATGTGGTAACATTTTCTCTCATTCTRTTGACTCTCTTCACATTATTGATTGYTTCCTTTGCTGAGAAGAAGCTTTTTAGTTTGAATCTATCTCATTRATTGATTCTTGATTTTATTTCTTGTGGTTTASCTGTGTTATTAAGGAAGTCAGTTCCTAAGCCAAAACGGTAAAGATTTGGGCCTACTTTTTATTCTATTAGCCTTAGGTTCTCTATTATASTGCCTAAGTCTTTGGTCCATTTTAAGTTGAGTTTTGTTCAGGGTGAGAGATAGAGATTTGATTTCATATTGCTATCTATGGATTTCCAATTTTCCCAATACCATTTGTTGAAGAGGTTATCTTTTGATGTCTTTGTCTAGTATAAAGTAATTGTATTTATGTGAGTTTGTCTCTGTGTATTCTATTCTGTACCATTGGTCTATGTGTCTGTTTTGGTGCCAATACCATGCCATCTTTGTTATTATAGCTTTGGAGACTCTTAGCAATGGAGAAATGAAAAAGGCAACCATCTTGAGTTTGCATAACAGACCTTACTAAACAACYATCTACCATACATTTCCTAGTCACCTTCCCACACCCCATCCTCACCAGCTCAAAGCCCTTTTTTCTGTGTCTTCTCACTTGCACCTAGTTTTCTTTGTTAACGTGTTATATAATCTCCCAGGTTAACTGCTTCTTTGGGTTTTCATTTCTTAAGAGGCTTTTTTCATGTTTGTATAAAAATATTAATAAATAAAATTTGTGTGCCTATTCTCCTGCTTAATCTCTCTTTTGTTAGTATAACTTACAGGGTACCAGTCCTAGAATATGGGAGGGTAGAGGAAGAAGATATTTTCTTCTCCCTGTAATAAACTTAAGTTTCAATTTTGAAGTCCAATCCATCAACAAATAATATTAGGTCAGGGTTCTCATCAGAGTCACTAAAATCTGATTAAGATACAGGATGYTCCCTAACTGAGGTAAGACAATCATGAGGTTCCCCTTTTTCTGGTAGGGGCAGGAGAGTGGCAGATTCAGGCCATGGAAACTGTAAATAGTAATGTGAGAAGGAGAAATTAACAGGTTTTTCTTTTTCTCTTTTTCTTTTTCCAGGGCTGGGGATTGAACCCTCACACATGCTATATCCCAGCCTCTTAACAACAAGTTTTCTGAAACCTCCTTCACATCCTTAAAAAAATTCATAAAATGCCAGACCCCTTTTGATGCCATTTTTGGGGCACTTATTCTGAGCAATTAGAATTCTTGTTTTCTTCCTGATGGCCATCCTCATTTAGGCTCAAATATACTCTTTGTTCTCACAACTTGCTTTTTAGGTTGATAGTGGTTTTTGATGGTTCCTCATAAAGTTGAATTAAAATTTTGAGGGCTTGTTAGATTGTCATGCAGAGATAGATTAAATGTTTTTTTGTAGTTTAGGGACACCTATGAAGGAGGCTGTTAAAGACATTTATCGAAGTTGCAGGGGGCCTATTTATATCTGTGGTTCTGAGATCTTGCTGGGCCAACTCCCTAAAATTATTTTGGCAATGGGAAGGTGCCTAAAGAATGGCCATTTTAGTGCAACTCTGCCCAGTGTCTTAGTGCAATTAAAATCAGTTAAGGCCTGAATACACGGAACATAAATTCCTTGAATGATGAAGTGCTTAAATTGTTGTTCAGGAACCGGCTTTTTAAGAATGGACATATGCAGCAGAAACCAGCTCATCTGATCAACGACCTTTGGATGTTACAAGCTCAAAATCCTCCCTAGAACACAATTAACGCCCCTAGAAAGAAACACATGGAAGAAATATGTGATTGTGAAGAGGCACAATGATTGCACAGTAAAGTTTTTTCTTTTTGCAAAAAACAGTGCTAGAGTATTGGCTTCTACATGCACCAGGCTCATCGTTGCTCCATATCAGGGTCCATCTGACTAATCATACCATATGGCACCCTTTGGCAAGACCTATGCCTTGTTTATCTCTGAGCCCACTGTTTAAGGAATGAATGAACAAATTCTAATTTGACTCAGTTCTCACCTACAGGATCAGTGGTCCTTGTGGTTACAGACTGCCAACTACCATCAGTGCCCCAGAGCAGGGTGGAGAGTGGTGGGTAGTTGCCAGAACTGGGTGAGCTTACATARAGGATTTCTCTCTGTTTAGGAACTCTCCCCCTTTCTTCCTTGAATATAGAATCCGTGTAGCTGAGAGCAGATAGCTGACTCTGTCTCCTTTTCCTACTCAGGAGAGATACTGTTGGGAGATGTGGAATTCTGTCCAAGTAGCTTCAGGACTCTGGAAAGAGAGGGCTTCCCTCTTCCACAATCACCTTATGTGCCCTTTGTTATCTCCAACTGCAGGGGATTGAACCTAGGGCCTCATACATGCTAGGCAAATGCTCTACCACTGAGCTATACCCTCAGCCCTGTATCAACAGATTATTAACAAAAGGGCTATTTGATAAAATGTCAGGCAAGGAAGTCACAAGAACTTTGTTGGGGTGTGCAAGGTTTGAGTTCCAGCACTATAGTGGCTGTCTGTTGCTCCTTGTGAATAAGCAGACAAATGAAGTTCACATAGTAGAAAGAGTCCCATGGTGAAGATTCACTCCACAGCAACCCTGGAAAGGGGTTGGTCTGGGTGGTTCCTTAGCCTCTTTCCTCACAATGTCCTTGTTTTTATCTGAATAGAGCCCAAGATGCTCCTCCCACTTTTCTTGGAAGCCAAACCCTTTTGCAATCTATATAAGGTTGACCACGCAGGGTTTGAGTGATTGCAGAAACTGGCCTTCCACTCTGTCAGGGAGCCCAACTTGGAGATCAGGTAGGTGCCCTAAGAGGTGGTCTCAGGAGATGCTTCTGCTTGAGGGTCAGAGAGATGGGAGCCAAGATGGGTGATGCTTGTGCTGATGCTAGAAATCAAAAAACTTGAGCCAGGCAAATATTAGCTGGGGCAGAGGGACCAGGTGGAGCTTGGGGAGGGGCTGAGGGAGCAGGCAGGTGCAAAGAACACATGGGGCTGGAAAAGAAGGGACCCCCAAGTTGCAGGAGGTAAGCATCTCTCTTTGGAATACAATGGAATCCCTTGATGAGGCCAGTGTCAGGCACAGGACTGAGTTTCCCTTGTGTTATAAGACAACAAGGCTCTGTCAGTCACGGTCCTGGATGTCATGTGATAATGCAGGAATATAATTTGACTCACAGTTTATTCAAAAATGATTTTCTGAATCAAAAATGATTTTCTGAAGAGCTACTTGAGCTCTGGGTACAAATGTATTTTATTTTTCAAATGTATTTTAGATGAAAGAAACTCTGGAATTCAAACAGTACTGGCAAAATTTGGGGTGGTATCATAGATCACCACCTAGAGGGGAGGATGGCCCCTCTCTAGTGAGTGGGAGTAAAACACACTTGGAAAGTGTGTGTGTGTGTGTGTGTGTGTGTGAGAGAGAGAGAGAGAGAGAGAGAGAGAGAGAGAGAGAGAGAGAGAGAGAGACTGACTTACTGTGTGGAAAATCTCTCAAGAAAAGGGATGTCTTACTGTCTGACCTGAAAGGGAGACTGGGCACCAAGGGAGCAGCAGGGGGGAGCTGGAAGTCCCTTTCTGAGGTGGTCATCTTCTTTCTCCTTTCCCCAGTTAGGATCTCTCAGGCAGTGAGGCCACCATGGCTCTGGAGAAGTCCCTCATCCTGTTCCCACTGTTAGTCTTGGTGCTGCTGGTGCTGGAGTGGATCCCTCCTACCCTGGGCAAGGAATCCGCAGCCAAGAAGTTCCAGCGGCAGCACATGGACTCCAGCCCCACCTTCAGCCCCAGCCCCACCTACTGCAATGAAATGATGAGGCGCAGGAACATGACCAAGGGCCACTGCAAGCCTGTGAACACCTTTGTGCACGAGTCCCTGGAAGATGTTCAAGCTGTCTGCACCCAGGAAAATGTCACATGCAAGAACGGGCAGACCAACTGCTTCCAGAGCAGATCCAACATGCACATCACAGACTGCCGCCTGACCMGGGGCTCCAAGTACCCCAACTGTTCATACAAGACCAGCGAGAAAGAAAGGCGAATCATCGTGGCCTGTGAGGGAAACCCGTCTGTGCCTGTCCACTTTGATGCTTCTGTAGAGGGGTCCGCTTAAGTCCAGAGCAGGGGGATGCCATCCTCCCCATGATCTATCCTTGGGACGCTTGCCTCTCCCTTTTTCCTTCCTTGCTCTAAAAGAAATAACTCCAATTAGGGCTTCCATCCAACACACAGATGAGTCTTATTCCTGCACAACTTTGGGGGTGAGGAGTGGTTTGTGGCCCCATGTTAATTCCTTACCATTTCTTCCAATAAAACATAGTTGCAAATCACCTGATTTCTGAAGTGTCTTATCCAGGTACGGTTTCTGTGGTTACTTTTCAGCTAGAGCTAAGAACTAAATCTGACTAGTCATTGATGAGAAGCAAATGAAGTAATTAAATACCTTCCCTTCTGACTCTTGGATTTCAGTGGCCAGAGAAAATTCCTTTCCTTGTAGATTCCTTGATGCCAAGTGCAAAACCGCTACGTGTTTTAAGTAAAAAGGAGCTACAGGCTGGGACACTCTCATGCTGGGTGAACAGACAGAGGGTCAAGCTCAAACACAGTAATTCTATGGCACAGAAGGAAGGACAGTGTGATGGCAGGAAGACTCTGCTTAGCCTCAGGGTGTAGAGGAGGAGTTTATGAAATTATCATCTCAAAAGTTTTCATTAGTCTTTTTGTTGAGAGAGCTATTACTGAGACAGAAAAGTGGCTCTCTCTCTTACCTGAAAAGTCAGAACCTTAAACGGTAGAAGTGGAAGGGACTTTGGAAGTCATGGAGTTGAAGAATAACAAGTATTTCAGCCTGTGAACCAACCCTAATGGAGGTACCTGCCTAGAATGCTGTAGAGAAACATTCTAAACAGGACTGTAGTTGAACCACAGTCTCTACTGGAGGCACCAGAGAAGTTATCATGGATGTACTGCACACTGACTATCCCTGACATAATGTGACCTTCACCTTTTAAGGGATTTGTTCATGACCCACTAGTAGTGGCCCAGCTGGGATTGGAACCCAGGTTCCTGGCCTCCCTGGCATTATTTTTTCTGCTGCTGGAGTCTAACTCAGGAAGAAACAGACATTAACTTTGCTAAATGCTATGGAGTGGTGGCTCTTCTACATATTTCCAGTATTCTTGGCCCTCACAGTTCTTAACAATGGTCCCTTAGAGCCATTCAAAGGACTAGAGTAAGCTTCTGTCTTCTCTTAATCATTACATTTAATTCTCTATTTAATGTTGCATCTGGTTTTAGACAGGGTCATAGAACTAAAGGCCCTACTTGCCACTGCTGGGACCAGTTGTGTCATTGCCATTATATGCTATACTTGTAGATGTTGGAAGTGATTGTGATTTTTCTTGTATAGAGTGAACTCTTAGCCCCAAGGTCTCTGAAGGAGGAAGAAGACCTGCAGGTCTAAAGGGGCAGTGGTAGTGAGGTAGTGGAGAATCTCAATATTATGAATGAGAATTGGGGAGGAAAGAGGAAATTTCAAGTTTCTAAATATGTTTCCTTTAATCAACTTTTTTCTTAAGCTCATCTCGCTCTTATTTCCAGCTCCAGTTTTCCTTCCCTTTAGTCCTAAGAGAATACTTCTGTGGAGCTTTTAAGAACACTTGGGTTTTTGCTGCATACATACCTCCACCTTCACTAACTGGCTTCCAGGCTCCCCATACCTTCCCGGCTAGAGGAAAGCTGGGGTTCCCATCTGGGGAATGAAATGATAGGTGAAGATGGTGGTCCAGGTGCAGAATGTGCAGCCAGGAAACTCCATGAGGAGGGAAAATTCCTGAACAGGAGAATACAGGGAGGAGAGGCTGCACCTTATGCGGAGGGCCAGGCACAGCCACAGAGAGAAGCAGCTTAGCTGTCCAGGAAAAAATCAGGCATCACTGTTGAGTGGGAGACAATTGCCCCTCTGTGAATAGAAGAGCACCAGCTCTTTCCAGGAGATTCACCAATGTAGACTGATTTTAAAGTGGAGGAACTAACATGTTAAGATGGTATCTGCTTGAAGGCAGAAGAGCCATATCCAGGGAGTCTTCTGAGGACAGTGTGACTGTTTCTCCAAACCAAATGAACTTTTGTAATTCTATATTTTCAGTGAACAGGAGCTATTTGAATGTGCCCCCCCCAAAGTACATATGTTGAAAACTGAATTCCCAGTACAACAGTGTTGAAAGAGGTAAATAGGTCATGAGGGTTCTGCTCTGATGAAATGGATTAAAGTCATATCATGGAGTGCATTCATTATATAAAGGAGTTCAACCCTCTCTTGCTCTCTGGTGATRTTTTGCTCTCTACCTTCTGCCGTGGGGTGATATGGCAAGAAGGCCCTCACCAGCTGGGGCCCTTCAGTCTCGGACTTCYCATCWCCAGAACTGTGAGCYRAATAAATTTCTGTTCATTTTAAGTTYCTCAGTCTCAGGTGTTGTGTTATASCAGCACGAATTAGAYCAAGACAAGAGGTAAACACATCTCCTCCTTACTCCTGGCAACTTTAAGAATATTGACAAAATTATAGAATTTTCTGCCTCTTCTGATTGGCTGATCATCCCTCTTAAGACTCCTGCTTCTTTCTATGGTAAATTCTTCCTTTAATTCCAGCATCYAGTAGCTCCCCAGATCCACACTCCCCCACATCAAAACAGATCCATCCTCTATACGTGATGAGTCCTTCACTCAGAAGAGTAAATGATCATTGCCTCTGGTGCTTTCTTTCCMCATGCCACCTCCATCAGTATCTGCACCCTGAGATTTCTCCCTGTGAAAGGAGAGGCTGCTCCCAGTCCCCACATTTGCTTCTTTAGGCYGATTCAGATCTCATGGAGCAAGTGGGAATGTTTAGGGGGCTCTGAATTGAAGTATCCATGGTGGAAAGGTGACTTCAGTATTGCTTTTGGGAATTGRTCATGAAGATGACAAAGCTCTTGTCACATACATAATGCATGACTCATGATGGGGGTCCTAAATAGAAAGTACATGATGAAGGTGTGCCTCCCTAAGACTAAGACTAACCAGGGGCACACTTCCATTGTGCCTCTGCAAACCATTCAATATGTTTTGGTATATTTGRGATTTCTTTGTGGCTTTCAGGAAGTGTAGGGTCTTTCCCCTTGGGGTTTAGCTTCCTTCCCATTCCCTTGTTATAAACAAAACACACTTTATTTTTTAGAGCAGTATTAGATTCCCATGCTGATTAGGCCATGATTGCCTTCATAATCAACAGTAAATGAGTAGTTAATTTGAATGGATAGAGTTTGTTATACTAGTAAGCATAGGGGTTATATTTTAAAGCTCATAGCACCCATATGCTATTATTCTCTAATTTCTCCTTGCTACAAGTTTGGGAAGGGCCTCTACCCAGGGTCTGTTTCCTTTTCTTTCCACCTTCTGAGCCTGCATGTTGTGGATAATTGGGCCAGGGTCCCTGGCTTAATTTTACCTCCCCTATCAGCTCCCTGTGCTCCTGAGCCAAGGCCATGCGGCTCCCTAGTCTATAGCTCCTMATCCAGGGGTTGAGGCTTGATAATCTCAAAGTCCCTTTATACTTATGATTAGTGGCATGTAGTTATATATGATCACTCATTTCTAATAAAGTCGCCTCATCGAGATCTGGTTTAGTTCAGAGTGCTCTTCTCACCACAAAGCCACTTTAGAGGACTGATCRTCGTAGCAGATTTCAAATACCCTGTCAGAGCAGATTTTCCTCAGTCCACTTTAGACAGCCTCTGAGTAGTTATGGCAACTAACCTCCGCAGGGCCCATAGTCCTTCCCGGTCCCCCAGAACCCATAGGGAGTTTGGTTTGGCTCAGAGCTCTCAGGGAGAGGCTGATGTGGAGGTGAGATCAGCGCAGCAATGAGAAAGTRCAGGTGTGGGGTCAGGAATTCCCTGGGCTTTATTGAGGACATGTCTAAAGAAGGTGCAGGACTGGGCCTTGCTTCAGATCAGCATGGCAGCCTTTCATCTTCACCTCCCYTTCCTCTCCCACAGACACCACCAARTGACTATTTWAGGGTAGACCTGGGGTTGTATAATATAGGGACACAATCTGCATGGGAACGTGTGTGTGCACACTACTGGATATGCCTGAGATCGTGTCTGTAGACTTGTGGAATCAAGGAACATCCTTCTGGGAATGGCCTTTTGTGATCTGACTAAAACATCTTCATCTTAAAGAAAGGTAAAGCAATGGCTAGGTATGGTGGCGCATATCTGTGACGCCAGGGACTTGGGACACYRAGGCAGGAGAATCACAAGTTTGAGGACAGCCTCAGAAACTTAGTGAGAAACTTTCTCAAAATAAAATATAAATTAAAAAATATAAAAGGCTGAGAATGTAGCTTAGTGGTAAAGTATCCCTGGGTTCCATGCCCAGTACCAAAAACAAAAACAAAAACGAAAAAACACAAAAAACAAAAGTAAAACCAAGAATGGAAGAAAGAAAACCAAAACCAGGTCTGTTGATTCTGAGAATGTGTGCTTTTATGCCTTCTCCAAGTTCTCTTTCTCCAAGTTCTCTCCTTCCTTTTTTTCATTTTAAAAAATTATCTTAGAGTAAAACTGAGTGTTTAGTATACAATGTGATTTTTAACCACTTCCACAATCAGAAACAGAACAATCCCCTCACCTCAAAAATCTCCTTTGCTGTCTCTTTGTAGTCATTCCCTCCTTCTGCTTCTGTTGCCTAGTAACCACTGATGTGTTTTCCTTTACTGTATTTTTTTTTTCTTTTTGAAATGTCAGGCAGATAGAATTGCACAGTATAAACCTTTTCATAATTCCTTCGAAATCCAACCAAGAGGTTGAATGTATGAATAGTTTGTTTTTCTTTATATTCCAGGATGCTGCACAACTTGATTATCCATTTACCAATTAAAGGACATTTCACCTCTTTCCACTCTGTGTGATTATGGAGAGAACGGSTGTAAACATTTCTCCTCTTTTCCTTCCTTTTTTTCCATCTTCCTTTTTGGTACTGGGAATTGAACGCAGGGGTGCTTTATCTTTAAGCTACACCTCAAGTCTTTTTTATTTTTTGAGAYAGGGTCTTGCTAAATTGCTGAGG